ACCTGACACATATATATAAAAATAATGGCTATATATATATATATATATATATATATATATATATATACACACATACATACATATGCGTGCCACATATATAGTAAATTTCTTTCCAAATTTTTCAGGTCAAAGGGCAGCCCTTTACATTTTTCCATAGTATAGCTGCTTTTTTGTTCCTTTGAAAAGAAGCCAAGGGATTTGAAAGTTGCACAGCTTCAGAATATCTCAGGTTTCATTTTCTCTGTAAGGATGTGAAATCAGCTTTAAAACATAGGAAGAGTTTTTGTGTGTAGATGAACCCACACAAAGATCTCCTGGGTCCCAGAATGTCTTAGCATTATAGAAATGACTTTCCCCTAAGCACTTGGAAGCAGTGCCTATCCCTCATGTGACTCTGGCTTGATTTTCTTTCACACTGAAATGTTTGAGTGTTTTTGCGACTGAACAAGGCAAATTTACTACTTTTGTGAATGTGGTGACTGTTGACATCTGTGAAGAGAGTTGTCTTTCCTGTGGTGTTTGTTTCAGTGCCCCCACTTCACGAGGCTCTCTTGCCTCTCTGTCTGGAGGATCACATGCTGCACCATTCTAAGAAATTAAGTGCAATGAGATATGTTAATTCACCATTATGGCTTACGAATTATATTTCCTGGACCTCATGTGTGCTTAAAAGTTGAATCAATCAAATTTTATTACTTCCTTTTTCCTTAGAGCAGCACGTTGAAAATGATGGCTTTTTTCTGCAGTCATAATTCAGTGGCCTTGGTGGCTTTTGTCTTGTGTATAGATTTCAAAGTAGACTCCATTTCCTCCAGTGCTGTGAGTGCTTAGCTGGGACCAAGCACTCATGACAGTTCTCAAGTTCACAGCTCTCTGTCACAGCCCAGATGTCAGTCTGTTGTTACCGTGAAGATCGTGTTTACTCCTCATCCTTGACCATGAAGAGGAGAGATGAGGAGGTTTTTGTTTCTCAATATAGTACAGGGTTTCTCATACGCTAGGCATGTGCTATACCCCTGAGCAACACCCCCAGCCCCAAAAGAGGAGCTATTATACATCATCATCTCTTCAGAATCTTCCCAGTGACTGAACTCTTAGCCGGTCTGCAGCAGTTTAAAAAAAAAAAAATTGTCCCCTTTGTCAGAGAATCATTAACAGGTTGCTTTGGCAGCTCTCATTTAGAACACCCTGCAGCCATCTGCTGGGACCAGCCTGTGTGGCTTGCTTCCACGCACAGTTTCATGCCTCCCTCATTGCCTCTTTCAGGTGAAGAAGCAGATTTTAGAGGAAAAGATCTACTGCCCTCCTGAGGCTTCGGTGCTCCTGGCTTCTTACGCTGTCCAGGCCAAGGTAGGTGCACAAAAGAAATATGGCTTCTTTCTGGATATTAACTGTGGCAAAGAATGGCTTCTGTCTTCTGTTTCTTTGGAGTTTTGGACTTCGAGAAGACTTGTCCCTGAAACTGAGATTTGTGGACTGGGGGGAATCTCCCGTCACATTCCTAACTTTTGTATAATCGTGTGTGTGTGTGTGTGTGTGTGTGTGTATGTACAAATGATGTGTATTGTATCATTCTAATGAATTAGAATTCATTCTAAGTGAATTCATTCAGATTGATGAATTTTTTATGAAATCTTATATACACGTGACTTATTCCATTCATTGTGCCAACCTTTTATTGTATTAACCAGGATAAATAAATTTGTGCTCTCTAATTATAGCCAAAAATAATCCTTTAGGTTATAAGTCCCAGGTCTTGGGAGGCTAAGGCAGAAGAATCAAACCCAGCCTGGGTAACTTAGGGATTTAGTAAGACTCTGTGTCAAAATAAAAAAAGCTGAAGATGTAGCTCAGGGTGAAGGCCTTGGGTTCAATCCCAACTACTGGCCAGTTCCTTCTTCTACACTCATGTTTTGAGAGCTTTCTGCCATGTGTGTGGGAACCCCACTGTGCCTCCCTCGCCCCTGAAGGGCTTGTGCCCTATGCGTATGACCCAACACTATTGGTGCTCGGTTGAGCCATCTTATGAGCTGAAAAAATCATTCATTTTAATTAAATGCAGACCAGAGAGGTGGTGGGAGAAGAATGTATCACTGAACGCCCCCTCCTCATGCTTTACATTACTGGAGATCAAACCCATGTATGCAAGCTTTATGTATGCTAGACAAGTACTTTGCTACCGAGCTACATTCCCAGTCCTTTTTTTTTTTTGTACCAGGGATCAAACTTGGGACCTTTCTCTTGCAAGGCAGGTGGTGGCATCACTGAGCTAAACCCCTGGCTCTACCCGTCCTTTTTTGGCTGGGGGATAGGGTCTTACTAAGTTGTCTAGTCTGGTCTTGAATTTAAGATCCTCCTGCATCAGCCTCTTGAGTAGACGTGGCCACTATTCATGGAGCCAGACCAGGGTGATATATGTTCCCTCAGATTTCCCGCCTGATGACAGAACTCCTTGTCTTGGTCTCCCTACTTCCTTCCATTCACTGAAGTGTATAAGAAGATATCCCTAAAAGTTAAAACACTCTGATGACTTGTGATTATAATCATTTCAGCTATTTTTCTTTTTCATTACTGGCATTAATAAAGCTATCCTTGAAGTGTTAGAAAAATGAGTAAAATGGGCTGTGGAATTAGCTCGGTAGCTCTGGGCTTGCGAGTAGGCCTAAGTTCGATCCCTGGTGCTGCCAAAAAAAAAAAAAAAAAATCTTTTTAGCTCACTCTTAGGTGGGTTAGTACAATTTCACATCAAAGCAAGGAAGTAACTAACTTATCATTTGTGTGTGGCGGTGAAAGAACTATGTTGTATACACTGGTCAGACTAATAGAAACACCACTGTCACCGGGCGTGGTAGCGCACACCCTGTAATCCCGGCACTGGGAGGCTGAGGCAGGAGGATCGCTGTGAGTTCGAGACCAGCCTGGGCTACATAGTGAGTTCCAGGTCAGTCTCAACTACATAGTGAGACCCTGTCTCAAAAAAAAAAAGAAGCACCAGTGTCGCCTTAATCATTTGATGAGTTGTCTGATATTTGCTTAGCATTCACCAGGCGTGGGGCATGGAGTTTATTAACTATGGTAGATTCAGCACTGAAGCAAGTGTACGCCCTCAGCAGTTGTCCCATGGTCATTTTGGCACCTTGGATAAAGCTGTTGGGACGGAAATTATGGCTTTGTGATTACATTTTGTGCCTTTCCCATTTTATTTCCTGAAAAATGACTAATTGAGAAAATAGAAAATGGGACTTGATTCAACTAAGACATATGCTTCATTTTAAGTTTTGATCAAGAATATTAGTAACAGGAAAAATGTGTCCTTTCAGTCAGTATCTCCATGGTATGATGAAGCAATCACTGTCACCTTCTTTAAATCCGGGCACTTCCTTTTCACATGCTTTCTTCCCGCTGAGAAGGGGCCCATGCTCTCAAGGACACTAGGTATCTTAATTTCAAAGGCTACATTTTCTTTGTATGGATTTTGGGCCACAAATTCAAAGGCCACCTGTGGGGGGAAAAAATCACTTCAGGGAACCAGCAGATGTTTGCTTCAACAGATCTCACTGTAGGAAAGCCCTACTAACTCGGAGATGAAAGGGATTCTCAGATAGCATATGGAGTTCACATGGAGGTGGATGTTCTAACTATGTCTTCCGGTGTCAATTTTAAGGATCTTACAAATAAAGGTAATCTCTTGCTTAAAAAGCCTCCATTTGGGAAACTAAGGTTTACTGTAACATGTTTCAATTTCTAGGACTTCTGGCTAGTAATAAAAGAATATTTCTGATCATAATATTAATAAAAGGTTATGTGTCCATAGTGTTTAATAGCGTTACAAGAATATTTCATGCAATTCTTGCTGTAGTGTTTTGTGGAGGCCAAGGTTAGAGAGTTTATACCTGTTCTACAGATGAGGAATTTAAGGCTCAGAGAGGATCAATAATTTGTTCAAAGTCACAATATTTTTATGTTAATTCTGTTTTTATGGAATATATAACGCACTCTTTTTTTTTTTGGTGCTGTTGGGGATTGAACCCAGGGCCGTGCACATGCTAGGCGGTGTTCTGATTTATATCCCCAGTCCTGTACCACACTTTTTTTTTTCTCTTAAGGATTTTCTTTTAATAACAAAACATTTATTTATTCATTTATGGTACCAGGGATTGAAGTTGGGCCCTTGTGCTTGCGAGGCAGGCGGCAGAACTACTGAGCTAAATCCCTGGTCCTATTAATATATTTGAGACATACACAATGATAACACTCATCACAGGGGACACATTTCTCTCTCTCTCTCTCTCTCTCTCTCTCTCTCTCTGTCTGTCCCTCCCTCCCTCTCTCTCTCTCCTTTTTTACGTACCAGGGATTGAACTTGGGTCCTTGTACTTGCAAGGCTGGCAGCGGAACCACTGAGCTAAATCCCTGGCCCAGGGGAGACACTTCTTGATGGAGAGAATTTGAGTGGAATGGGACAGTGGAACCAGGTTGGGGACTTGGTGTCCTGCTTTTCTGAGGCAGCATTTTGCTCTGTGAACTATCTAGTGAGAGGGAGGTCTGTGGAGATCAAGCAGTACCTTTCATTGAGTTCCAGTTTCACTTTTATAATCACAGTAGGCCTAGCTTTACAGTAAGTCCTGCTAGTTCCTTCATTCTGTGCAGCTTGTTTTCTTTCATAACCTTTTGAATAGGAAGGAATTTTAGAAATATGGAGGGGAAACTGGGTTGAGCTCATTAACACATGGAATGTAATTATGTGCAAATGTAGTTATTACAGTATTCCTGCTCTTTAGACCATATAGACACAGCTAATTCCAAAGCATAAAGAAACAATTACACTCAAAGTATAAATACAAATATTAATCACATGGCTCAGTTAACAAGAACCATACTTCTTTGTTGGAATTTGGGTTATATTGGAATCGAACGTGTATGGGCAGGGCTTTTTGGTCCAGTCACATGATACACAAAACCATCTTGAAGTGTTTAAGCCACCTGTTGGATTTCATATTGACAATTTGGTGTTTGATGTTAACAGTGTTTGGTGTTAAACATGATTTTGACAAGGACCTGAGTTCGATCCCTGGTTAAAAAAAAAAAAAAGACTTGAGAGAGAGTGGTGTATAATGAATCTTTCAATGCTGTTTCCAGATTCCAACCCTTCAGAAGAAAGAGAAGAGTGGTGGGAGAAAAGACTTAGTATTTCTTTTCTTTTCTTTTCTTTTCTTTTTTTTTTTTTTTGGTGCCAGGGATCGAACTCGGGCCCTTGTTGATGCGAGGCAGGCAGCGGAACCACTGAGCTACATCCCCAGCCCTAGGGTCTATATTTTAGACTGTGTCTTTGATGAATGTGTGAAGGACAGATTGGGAAACACAGAGGCGCATTAGAAGGCTGAGGTAATCGTCCGAGTGAGAGACTGAGAGTCACACCTCTCATAGTGGTGGGTTGGATGGGAAGAGATGGACGCCACCTGCATCGCAAGCACAAGGACCCAAGTTCTATTCCCGGTACCAAAAAAAAAAAAAAATTTCCAGAAGGTAAAAATTGTTTAAATGGTGCTGTCTTCTATGTATCCTTTTTTTCCTACGTATATCTTTTTACAACTTTTGTCTGTATTAGCATCAATTTTGAGATGTATTCATGTTATATGTATAGATGTAGCTCATTGATTTTTAACTGCTATATGGTAGCCACTCATAAATAACTCAGAGTTTATCCAGTCTCCTGAGGGGGAGGTCAGTTGTTTCTACATTTTCTTCTTTTATAATCAGTGTTTTACTGAATGTGCAAAGGTTTTTTTCCCCATGAGGTAGATTTCTAGAAGTTCACGTGTGGGTAGAGTATTGACAAAAGATACATACCTAAATACAAAAAGCTCTTCAAGTTTATAGGAGAAATACAAAGAAAAGTGGACACAAAGCATAGGAACAGACATTTTATAGACTATGAGGATGGCCTGTAAATATAGAAAGATGTTCAAACTCACTAGTATCCAGGAAAAAGAAAAATTAAAGCAATAATCGAGTCACATTTCATATTGATTGATTGTTTTTGTTTCTTCGGTTACCAGGGATCAAACTCAGGACCTTGAGCTTTCGAGACAGGCATGGCACTACTGATCTAAAGCCCCAGCAGATTGATTGGTTTTTTGAGACAGAGGCTCACTATGTAGTTCAGGCTGTCCTTGAATTTACTATGTAGCCCAGGCTCGCCTCGAACTTGCAGTGATCCTCCTGCCTCAGCCTCCTGAGTGATGGGATTATAGGCGTGCGCCACCACAACCAGATAAGATCATATTTTAAGTGTAGAAAATTGGCAGGGATTAAGAAATTGGATGAAATATTATGGGAGCTCATTTGCTTGTTGGAAACACAGTCAATTGACCTAGTGTGGAGGAGTGAGTAAAAATGAAGAGAAGTATCCGAGGACCCCTAACATTCCTTCTGGGTGGCCGCTCTGGGCTTTTAGTATATTCAGAATGTTGTACAGCCCTCAGCGCTATGTAATTCCGGAACATTTCCATCATCCCCAAAAGGAATCCCATCCCCACCAGCAGTCACTCTTATTTTCTTCCAGTCCTCTGCCAACCACTACCCTGATTTCTGTCTCTAAAGTCTTGCCTGTTGTGGACATTTAATGTAAACAGAATCATATCGTATATAGCTCCTGCAAATCATGTGCTTTCCATTTAAGACTGTCAGGAAACAGAGCACTCCCACCTCCGCCACCTTAGTCTTTTAAGGCCATGAATTATTTAAATATATCTTTTTTTTTAGCACCATTTTTTTGGGGGGAGTACTGGGGATCGAACTCAGGACCTTGAGCTTACAAGGCCAATGGCAGAACCACTGAGCTAAATCTGCAGCCCTTAAATATATCTTTATTAGTGGATATTTAGAGTTTTTTTTTATTTCTGTTGTTTTTCTATTGTTTAAAAAGATGCACTTAAAAAAAAAATAGATGGGGATTTAGCTCAGTGGTTCCACTGCCTGCCTCGCAAGTGCAAGGACCTGAGTTAGATCCCCAGTAGCAAAAGAAAAAAGAAAAAAAGAAACACTTAAAAAAAGATGCATTTTACATCTCTGTACAGTATATGTCTCTTCGAGCACATATGAATATTTCCATATGATAGATACCAATAAATGGCATGACTGAGTTGAAGGTTGAGTATTTAAAATCTAGCTAATATTAAGGAAAATCATATACCATATGATTTTATTTATATGGAATGTACATATCAGGCAAGTATACAGAGAGAAAGAAGATTAGTGGTTTCCACCGGACAAGAAGAAAAAGAAATTAGGAGTTCAGGATTTTTTTTTTTGAAAGTGATGAGAAATGTTCTGAATTAGGTAGTGGTGATTGTGTAACATGCTGAGTATACTAAAAGCCATTGGATTATACATTTAAGATGGCAAATTATATGGATATAAATTTTATTTCAAAAAGATTCAAATAGATATGGCCAAAGAACCCTCCCTAAGTATTGTCCTAATTTAACTTCCAACAACAGTATGTGATACCTATTTTTGCACATCTTCTCCAACAGTGGATACTATCAGTCTTTTAAATTTTTGCTAATCTAATAGAAAAATAGATTTTAGGAAAATTTGCATTAGCTCGCTTGCCGTCGGGGCTAGGCATCTTTTCATAGATTTACTGGCCATTTGTCTTTTCTCTGTGAATGAACTTCTTGTGGCTTGCTCCTTTTTCTGCTGTATTGTTTATGTTTTCCGACTGATAATAGGAACTCCATTTATTGGGTGTTAATCTTTTGTCCATTTTTACATATCAGGCTTGTTAGTCTTTTCCTTTGTGTTTGTTGTGACTTTTAGAATGGCTTCACCAACCATTATTTTCCACATCCTCTCTGTTTTGTTCTGGTGTTTTTATGGCTTTTTATTTATAGGTTTAAGCTTTTGATCCATCTGGGATTTAGTGACTGTAGGTGGTAGGGATCTATATTCTGTATACATACTAAGCAAATCCTATTCAAAGCATTTGATCTAATTTTCCATCCATATAAACAGAGGAAATTGCTTAATATCCAGAAGGAGTCTCTGCTTAATTTGTGAATTGACTCCAAGGGCTGAATGTGGCTCAGTGGCAGAGTGCTTGCCTAGCATGTTTGAGGCTCTGAGTTTGGTCCCCAGGAGCAAAGAAAGAGAGGGAAAAGGAAAAGAAAAAGAGAACTGGCTCCAAGAGACTTTTCAATGGTGAGCCTCCTTCTCGAATTTAAATTTAATTGTGTTCATATCAGGGGCAGATCCAGGTTTTGTGAGGCCTGAGGTTTATCAATTTAGGAGCTGGAATACCAAATTATGAATATAAAATTAGGCACAGGCCCGTGCAGATTCAGAGACCCGAAATCCAAGCTTTCTTACAGCAAAGATGCCCTGGATCAGAATGCGCCTGTTACATAAAAGGATGAGGAATAGCTATCCATCTGTCGAGTGGTCTGACTTTCTTTCTATTTACCACTGCCACAACTTTAAGATCTTTTTTTTTCTTTCTTTGTTTTTTAAAGAGACATCTAAGAGCAGACACAGACACCAAGGTGGCTTTAATGCTGTGAATGGACTTAGTCCAGTAGGGAAGTTGTTTCAGCGGCGTCTCTGCTACCTCTGCATTGCTCAGATGTAATGGATTTGATCAATGGAGTAGCTAGGTGCTCCGTGTAATTTAATAGTGGGGATCATTAATCTTGCAAGCCTTGGGAACCTGAATTTACAACTTTAACTTTGCATATGTGCTTACTTTTGCATTAAAGTTTGGTTGGCATTGTTAAAAAGTTTGCAAATGCAGCTAGGGCTTTCTTTTGCATCCTACCCCTCTAAAAACTAGGGAGAGGCAACAGTGACTAGAGCCATCCCAAATAACGCAGAGGACACCGTTACAGTAACTATAGCTGACTTTCACCTGGAAACACACACTCCTGAGCTCCCCCTTCAAGATCTTCCACGTCTCCTGCTCTCATTTGACACATAAGAGGACAGACTTGGAGATCGCGGTAGTTACTTTTCTCTCATTGTTGAGAAAAAATGCCTGACACCCGAAGTCAAAGGGGAAAGGGTTTATTAGCTTGCAGTTTATAGAGGTTTCAGTCCATAATCAGCTGGCTCCAAGCTACAGTGGCATGTGGCAGAGGGGCGCCACAGAGGAGAGACAGTTTGTGGTGGCCACACAGTATCAGAAACCACAAGAGAAATGAGCAGTGTCTTTCTGCCCCTTTTATCTTGCTGAGACCTCTCGGGGCGGTAGCACTCACACCCTTAATCCTAGTGCTCTTGGGCCTAACCTCTCTTTGAATCAATCACACTGTCTAGATTCAGCCACCTCCAAAATAGCCTCTGACCACATGAGGCTTTGGGGGGACATCTAGACACAAACCATAACAGAGATCTTTTGATATCTGGTTGTATATGTCAAAGATCACTCAGAAACTTTGCATGTGTTCTTTCATTTAATCCCTAGAAGAATCCTGTTAAGTTAATTACTGTTACACCCATGTTATAGAAGAGAAAACCAAGACCCAAAACTTTCCAGGGTCATATAGCTATTAATTAAAAAGAGCTAGGGGCCCAGGATTTAGCTCAGTGGTGCCACTGCCTGCCTTTCAAGTGTAAGATCCCAAGTTCGATCTCTGTACCAAAAAACAAAACAACAACAAAAGACAGCTGGAGTGGAACCTCTGCCCCCAGAACCTCCTTCCTGAGTTCTGCAGCTGCTGTACTACATGGTTGTTGGGAATCAAACTCAGCACCTTTGTCATGCTGGGCAAGTGCTCTGCCACCAAGCCATACCCCAACCTCCTGTAGATTTTCAAATAAAGGCCTACACAGGATTACAAAAACTTGTGGCATATATAAAAATTTTAAACTTGAAAACTTCCTTTACCACACCGAAAATAATACAGTTCTGCTACTTTAAAGATAATTACGACATTCATAAGAGATATTAATTCACAGAGCTTTTACTGTCAGAGTGTTAAGGGAATGAAGCACAGTTTAAAGTTGACAGTGAATCTCTCCTTTCAATCCCATATCTGTGGTGTGGTGGACAAGTCCCTTTGGGAACAGGAGCCTACTGCTGGGATAACCCAGTTTGGTGGGAATAGAGCCAATAGCCTTGTGCCTGACCTGTCTTTTCCTGTCTTTTGCTTTTCCAATGTCGGTGGCTAAAAGGATAAATGATGATTATACTAAAATACCACCCCTCCTTGTTTTTGGTAAAAAGAAAAGCCATTGAGTCAATGCTGATCGATACAATCACTGGCTTTGATTTTATATTCTGTGTGTTTCACAGTTAGTCTGTTTTCATATATTCTCTTTATCTCCTTCTCTTCTTTCCTCTCCTCCTCTCTCTCTTCTTTTTCCCCCTCCCTTCCTCCCTCCTTAGGTCTCTCCATCAAACCCAGGACTTTACACAACATAGGCCAGTGCTCTACACTAAGCCAACCCCCAGCCCCGTTCTATTGTTTTTGATGATTTTCTGAAAAATGAAAAAAAGGGAGTGATTTTTAAAATTAAAGAAATAGATTTCTAAGTCATTGTTCTTGGAAGAACGAATTAAAATGCGGGGACTATTTCCAGCCCTTCTAGTAACTTGTTCTGCAGCTTTTGCAAAACCAGTTAACCTTTCTTGATCCGTACAGTACAAGTGGTAGAGTTAACATCATCTTTTTCTACAGAATTTTTCAAAAGCTATGAGTGAAAGGCATTAAAAAATACTGCCTATGTTATTCCTTGTTCCCACCTTTCAGTCCAGCTCCAGTTTCCAGCCATTTAGAAGCAGTTGTTAATCACAACTTTCTCCCAGTTGTGTTTTGTTGTTTCCGTTCAAAAGCTAATGTTTTGAAGTGACTGCTTTCTCTGAGGGTTAGAAAACAGGGCTACATTTCCATACCAATATCATATTCTTATTACCACATCACCCATCCATGTTTTAGGGGTTTTGCAACTTTGTTCATAGATATAATCAGCTTTGTATTTGCATTCAAGGATAACCAACCGCAAGGCTGAAATCTTTGTTTTGAAATCTTGACTTGTCATCAGAATTGAATTGCTCCCCAGAGCAGGGAGGAGCGACGGAGACCGAGTCACCTCTCCTTCGGGAGCGGCAATAGTCTGTTTATTTATGTATTTATGTATTTATTTTTTTGGTTTTTTGAGACAGGGTCTCACTATGTAGTTGAGACTGACCTGGAACTCACTATGTAGCCCAGGCTGGTCTGGAACTCACAGTGATCCTCCTGCCTCAGCCTCCAGAATGCTGGGATTATAGGCGTGCGCCACCACACCCAGCCCTTTAGTCTTTTGAATCTCAATTGCCTGCTGTCCTTTCTTTTCCTTTCAGTACGGTGACTATGACCCCTCTGTGCACAAGCTGGGATTTTTGGCCCAAGAGGAATTGCTTCCAAAAAGGGTGAGAAATTAAATTTTGAGGAAAAACATAGCAGAGATGTGACCCGAGGGAAGCTAACTGAAGGGCTTCTAGACGTAGGAAGCAAGCATATTTTCACAAGTATTTGTAATAAATCTTGGGTAAAGCATAGAGATCTTTGGTAAGCATGCTGAAAAGCAAAGGTTCGTGGAGTTAATGCAGAGTTGCCAGCATGAGCACGGCCTGTCAGTATTTCTCTCGTGTGGCGAGAGTTCTTTAAAGGTGATTGAGTGGCACTGATTCCCAGGGAGACGTGTGGAATGCTGTGTGCTCAGCCCCGGGAACTGAGTGTCTGTAGCAGCCAGAGGTGGATGGAGATGAGCGGGGGTGGGCCTTGTGGTGTGTGACCCTCGGCCTCATTCATCTCGTTCATTAGCCACAGTAGCGGGCCCTCCCTCCCTTTTGCTGCTTCTGATTTTATGGCCCCAGTCATCTGTCCCTGGGTAATAAAGACCTGCTTCTCACCTCTCCCGCCTTTACCTGCCCTTCAGTGACTTCTTTGAAGGGGAAGGCGGGGGTTAGAAAGCACCGCTCCCCTGCCAGCGGTGGTCTCTGATGTACAGTTCAGGCAGAGGGGGGTCGCCACCAACCCAGCGGTGCTCCCAGACTTGAGGACCCCTGCAGTTTCCAGGCTGCTCCTTCAGTGGAATGGTGCCTGTTTACACACCCACCTCTGCGTGTGACTCTCCCTGTGTGCGGCTTTTTAAAAATAGCTTGGACTGTTTTGTGAAAATGATGCATAATTATGAAAATGGCAGACAATACCCAAACTTACTTGTGTGTGGGTTTTTATGTTGCTCTCTCTTTTTGGGTAGGTAATAAATCTGTATCAGATGACTCCGGAGATGTGGGAGGAAAGAATTACTGC